GATCTCGCGCGTCAACTGATCCAACTGTTCCTGTTTGTGGTTCCGCACCTGCGCTAAGAAGTCCTTCAGTAAGTCGTTTTCGATGGCTTTGCAGCTCTGTTGGAGGGAAACGAGGGATCAGTTCATGTGATCAATGAGTGGCGCGTCTCAGACGTACGGCTTCTAAGAGTCGCTTTCGTTGAGCTAAAGACTCAAGCAATAGGTTTATGTCCGAGAGATCCAATTGATCCGATTTGTGGATTAGTAGCTCTTGGAGTTCAGTCATCTCTCGCGGGTTCTGCGGAGACATGAGATCACAGATTATGAGATAATATGAACACAAAGACAATTGCGAGACACAAATGGCGCACATTTTTGCCGGAGTCGATCTTCTTCTGGAGAACCAATTTGTGGTGTTTTGTGATCAATTCGTTTACTAATGGAAATGATAGGACATTAGGGATGAGATAATATACTTAAGACACGGCAATCGCTTACGCAAGAAGTTAGGGAAGACCTGCTCGACAACGAAATTACATTTCGGACATCTGTTACTCCTTTCCAACGACATTGATATGCATTTGTAGCTAACCGTCGATGAGATCGCACGAGAGATAAGAGACTATTAATACTTGGCAAACAATAGACACAATTCACTGATATATCACCAGAAAGTATGGCCACATTTGGTGACATTCGCCTCTTCGATGATCTCGAAACAAATGGGACTAAAAGTGGAGACAAAAAGGAATGCGTTTAGTACTCAGTGACCATCGATGGCGCGACAATGAGATCCCGTGGGATTCAGTGGCCGATCGCCAGCACCCGATACTCACCACAAGAAGTCGTTGCTCTTGTCCTCGAAGGAACCGCTGACGCAATTGAGTACAAGAGGTTGCGGTCGCTTGCGTTTCATCGTCGCCGACATCATTGGATCCGTCGGATCCGTGGCCCTCCCGATGGCCGACAGACAATTGAAAACACGATTAAAAAACTTTATAAAACACTTTTGGCGTGCATTTTGGTGTTCATCGTAATCGCCAATCAATTCAATAAATCAGTTGTTTTTTGTATACAAAATGGTTTTGCAAACAAAACACGAGTTTTTAATTGAGATTTAATTTGCTTTTCACGCAATAGTGGTCTCAAAGCACGTGTTTGTCGGCTATCGATGGCATCGTCGACGGTGTGGTTGGCGTTGATTTGGTGTGCAATCAGTGGTTAACTGTTGTCAACACATAATGACGGCATGAATGCTATGTTTACGAAACGCAACACAAAAACACAAAAGCGTTTCAAAAAGTGTTGCGAAAGTAGTGCTCATAACGTGTGCTGCTATTCATTGCCATAGCGTTACGCCGTATCATATGAATGCCCACTGTTTGCGCACTTTTTTAAATGTTTGAAACTTTTTTTTATAAAGAAAACATTTCTTGTTTATCGTTAATTTAATTCAAGCACCCCTCCTAACCCCAGGGTATACACCGAATACACCCTCAGTTTGTTTGTTATATAGACTTTTGTGTTTATTTTTTTGTGTGAATTTTTTTATGGTTAATATTTTATGAGTTTTTCACGATTATGTGGTTTTTGACGGAAGTTTCGCGAATACCTTGACTATAATGAGTCCATTCATTGCTGTAATTATAGTGTATTCACATTATAGTGTACTTTTGAAGGGCAAGTTTTTTTTGGTCGTAAAATATATATTATTTCCTAGTTTCCCATTAAATTCTGTTGTATTTATTTGTTTAAATAATTTTATGGACAATTTCTTTTACATATGTTATAATGAAAAAAATATTATTACAATATTTAAATTACTACTGCATTAAAAATTCCACATTTATTATATTAAATTTTATAAACAGTGAAAATATAGAAAATAATCAAAAATATATCAATAATACTGTTAAATGTTATTTATATTGATACTGTACAGTACTGTATAATAAAGTTTTTATAGCTATTTTTAAATTCTGTGCAAATTCTGTGCAAATTCTGTACTTTTATGAACACATGATTATTTGATATAATCTTTTACACATGCATTGAAATCATTGTCCAAATGATTAATAAATTAGTTTTAGATAATTATTTCAACATTTTTTTGTAAAATTTTCTTTTTATTACATAAACTAAAATTAGAGAATACTATACAGTATCTAAAAGCTATTAATCATTTCCTAAATTAATTGTCTATTTATTTATGCAAAAAAGTTTCTATTGTATGAAATATGAAAAAGACAAATGAATTCATACGATAAGCTCCCGAAGACTAAACTTTTTGCTACTTTTATGCACCGTATGAATGAGCGTATAATAAATGTTTGCATTCATATCGGTTGTAATCCGATGACACGATTCAGCATAAAATGTGTGTTTATATCGAAAATAAAAGATTATTTGCCCTAAAATGCAAAAACTATATTAATCTCTCTCTCTCTCTCTCTCTCTCTCTCTCTCTCTCTCGCGTACGAGTCGCTTATCAAGCGATGTATTGTATAACAGATTTTGGGTGGCAATCGAGAAATGATGCGTTGCTATGGAGACAGAGTGGCAGAGATGTAATGATGGGTTGCGTTGGGAGTCATAGAGAGAGTGTATGTGAGAGACAGAGGGAGAGGAGAGTGAGAGAGAAAAATCTGAGATAAATACAAGCGATAGTGCTGTAGGAATGCATACATACCTGAAATGTCACAACACTTTTGAACATCATTTGTGATCTTAACGTCCAAAATGTGATTCAAATTCGTGGCGAGAAAACGAAGAATATTCTGTCGATTCGTGTGCACCATAAGAGTCACTCGCAATCGGTTCCCAACCAATCGACTGGCAAACGGTTGATCCGAAGCCCACGCACTGGTGTTGTCGTCGATGGCAGCGATGAACACAACGGGTGGCGGAGGAGAGGACTCGGAGGCTGACATCGGCTGCGATATCAACTACGACAGCATTAAGATGTCGTACCCGACCGCCGGTCCCACACAAGTGCCGCCACAATACAAGCCGTTGACGCTAACGGAGAAGAAGTTTCTGTTGGCCGTCGAGAGGGGAGACCTTCCGGCCGTTCGCAGGTCTGTCCGCGCCCTCCCATTCCCCTCCCAATCCGTGCCATTGTTTCTGCGACTTAATTCATACGTGTTTTAATGGTTTGGACGGTTAGGGCGCTGCTGGAACAGCCCAGGGATCAGCTGAACATCAACTGCTGCGACCCCGTAGGCAGGAGTGGCCTACTTATGGCTATCGATAACGAGAACCTCGAGATGTGTGAGCTATTGCTGAGCGCCGGCGTCGAGATGAAGGACGCCTTACTTCACGCCATTAACGAGGAGTTCGTCGAAGCCGTGGAACTGTTGCTCGACAACGAAGACCAGATACATATCGCCGGTCAGCCGCACGTGAGAACTAACTGTCCCTCCCGTCGATGGTCAGGCGTTTCAATGATTTGTTTGTTTTTTGTTTAATTATCTCGAAAAGTCTTGGGAAGCGTTAGAGCGCGAGACCTTCACCTCCGATATCACGCCATTGGTATTGGCCGCCCATCGCAACAATTATGAGATTATCAAGATCATTTTGGATAGGGGCACATCACCTGTATGTTATGATTTGTTTTGAGGG